AACTTGGTAAATTAGCATATGATGAGAGTTATATTTGGAAATCCTACTCTGTATGGTGGCACAAAGGAACTCATCAACACCATAAGTAGGAACTATAGTTTTGGATTTCCATTACTGTATGGTGAATGGTGATTTGGAAATAAAACTTTGTATGACTTATACACCCATGGAAATTATACCCTGTATGAAGTAAACACACAAGCTCATCAACAGGGGGGTGCAGATATAAACTGGAATGGCCCAATTCAAAAGTTTCCGAATACATTAAGTACCATGTCAGCCTCAGAGGCCCTTTCAAATACATTCATGCCCAGCTTCTACACACAAAGGATTGAAAAAAATCTTTGTAATACAAGATCATGAAATCAATAAAAGTTAAACACTTGTTGTTAAATTGCAGTATTCATGTTCAAGGTCAGAAACTTTAAATGTCAGTCCTAACATAAATACCGAATAGACGAATTGAGCATAATACGGCTGGCAATGTTTAGAGGTTAGGGACAAAATCCTTAGACAGCAGCTACATTTTGAAATGAAAACAAGCTTATATTCATAGGATTACCATGATACAATTGATGGTGGTACAACCTGGTTACTAAGCCACTCAAAGACATGTCAATATAATTACTGCATAATAACTGTCTTCAATTGCATTCAGGAATTGTTAGAATATGCCCCGATAATCAAATCAAGTTATTGGCAATTGACTCATCTCCTGGGCAACAACATCAAGTTTAATGTGGCAATTTGTTGTTTATATTGGCTTTTTTATGTACATGGACTAACACCACAAAGATAACAACAACACGCCAAGCACACAAATTATTGTGACTGGCACCTCAATCTACATAACAACACGTGTCAACAATAGGAAATTTACAGTCAAAAACATAATTACTGATATTATAGCTAGGTTTTACTTGTTTGTTACTTCCATGTCGGTCAAATAAATAATAAATATAACAATAACGAGATGGTTTTATTAGATACCAGTACAGGCTGTCCAGTAAAAAATGGCTTTATACGCGATATAAAACGCGTATTTTAAAAATAAAACGATGATTTTTTTTCTTCATCGACAAGTTGTTGTGGGCTGGGTTCGCTAATTTAAATAATCGCACGAACGTTATACCAGCCGATGCACTGCTTGCAATTCAAAATGTTGCCCTGATTAGAATACCATTTACACTAAGGTGCCTCGGGAATGCATTTGTTTGTTAATAAACATGTCCCTTCAATCGTCAGTCTACTCTAAAACTGAAACAGAGTCACAGGTTAATCGTTCCCACACAAAAAAGAACGACGATATTTGACTCTCTGATGATCTGAGCGGTCGGCGTGGTATCCGTCTTATAATCGAGTCTTACCTTTTACGGCTGGTTCGAACAGTGCGAAGACGACAGAGATATGTCTGGATATCACTTGAACAAGGACTGAGTTCAGTCAGCTGAACGGCATTGATATTTTTTCCGCGGTGATTGTTTGGTAGGCGTCGCAAGTTGCATGGCAACGAGTGCGCATGCGCGGAGTCTTGTCACTCATTAGTGTCCGTAAAATGCAACGTCATCAGTTCATGCTTCATGAGTTATTTTTAGCACTGTGTAATGCAATGCACCATTGTAAAATCACCCGTACCCATCATGTATTATACCGCGGAGCGATAAATGATTTTTTTTTTAAATAAATTATAATAGACTCCCATGGCTAAGTATATTATTTTGCAACTGTGACCACGTTAATGTACATTTAAGTATTTTTTTTTATTTTCAGAGCTCGGCTGACGCACTACTTTGTTTACTACCCTTAACATGTTATTTGCAAAAGGTGTTCTTCGGTCAAAGTGACTGAATTTACGAAGAGTCAGTCAGAAGACACTGTCAGTCTTAATCCCGGGGTCTTAATACACAGATTTTATCTGGATTTGATACTTGTATTGCCAATTTACACAGCATCCTGTCAGAAGTTATTAGCGAAGTTTTGCTGGACGAAAGTCTTTCGGAAACCCGCTGATTGAGGTCACAGATTAAAACTCATACCTGGCAGGAATCATGAATTTCGCTTCGACACACGTTTATAACTATGATCATTCGGACGAAGAAATATTTGATGAGCACGAGTTGGAGCAGGGTATGCGATCTCCTGGGTGAGTTGATAACTTCTCCATTCCAACGTTCTTCCATTTATTCGTCAATACTTCCGTGTTGGCTAGGGGGTCACGACCCCCTGATACATGTACAAACTATAACAAACGTGACAGGAATACACCGATACACATAATTTTTGAATCGCATGGCGATATTTATTGATTTATTATGTAAAATCATGGAGCTATTGATCCATGCACAGTCCAGTCACAGGTACTGTGATCCTTGGTACCATTAAATAGCACTCTTTTGTGTTTACACAGACGTAATTTTTAGAAACTTGTTCTATAATATTTAAAAACAAATGATGGCTGTTTTAAGATCAAGTCCATAGAACACAATGTTGAAAAAAAAAATGCATATTTTTTAAACTTTTCAAAATTTTACATAATTCAGGTCAACAAAAAGTAATTCATCATTCACAATTTATAAATTGTTCACCAGCCAACAATTTGAGATATGGCATAATACATGTATCACTCTGTCATGGAATTGGAAACCAATCATGGTAAAAGGTGTCTGCCAAAGTCTCCCAGTTTAACCTTTGCCGGCGGTAGAACTCATCCAGCGGATGAAGTAGGCAGTTTTTTGTGGGTGTTAATGGTCTGAGATTGTTGTTAATTTTAGTCATATTACGATAAAAAAAATATTTAACGATATTGTTGATTTTTGTGACGCAGCTGAGTGCTGTGTCATATTACAGAAAAAAAATAAAATATGATACACAGCTAACCAGCATTATTGTGTTTTCATTACATAGCCTCAGAGCCAGACAGTCGCTGATGCAATGTCTGTGTTTTCGATGTAATGTCAGTGTCTTTTTGTAAACTTCCGTCACTGAAATCGACAACAGTCACAGAAATTATTGAAATCAACAACATTTCAAAGAACAGTAGTGATGCTGAGCATGTTGTGTGGCATGTAATTTCTTTTTTTTTCTGTGGGAACTTTCGTCACTGACCAACTATTTTTATTTGGCTGATTTAGAATCTGGCAAAGATCATGGTAAAGGTATTATAATACTGACAAAATAGCCACTATTCACTAGCATTATGGAACATAATGGAAAACCAGGTCTCATGTCACCAATTAGCCTATCAGCATTCATAGCATGAATCTTATGGTTGCTGTTAGCCAATGGGTTTTCTTTCACCGTGTTTTATCTGATAAGTGACGCAGGAGGGCATACTTCAATCACGTCAGCTGTTAGACTTGTGTGTGTAGCTTTGTTAGTTGACAAGTACCGGTGACCTGTGGATCTGGGCAACTTTCAATTAGACACTTCAAAACTGACTGCTTTTTTTAGAATATTGAAGGTACATACAAGTACAACTGTACATGTAGAAAAACTGACAAATCTGTGTGTTTTGTTTTGTACACATGTAGGAGTCTGAGCTGGCCAACATGTGTTTTACTGGCCAGAATTCTAATACATCCATGTGGCTTCAACAAATTAAAACAGTATTTTGACCTTGGTAACCCTTTTTCTTGTGAGTAATTCACCAAAACGTTAACATTGTCGTCTATGGAGTTCTAATTAATGGTACATGTAAATGTATGACATCACTAGTATCACCATAGAAACTCACTAAAAATATTGAGATATGAATAATCTCAAAATAGAAACCAGTTTAAAAACAATAATTTTGACCATTTTAAGCTCTTGAATCTTAAATATATCACCCGGTTACCCAATTTTTTTTTAGCTCCGCTGTCGATTTTGTCGAGCGGAGCTTATCATATGAGTGATTGTTCGTCGTCCGTGTCAATGTTTTACTTTTTCGACTTGTTCTTGAAAACTACAAGCCTGAATGCTTTGATACTTGGTGTATATGTACTTTGGGTAGACCTCTCTCAGATTTGTTCATTTCATGATCATATCTTCAATTCTCTAATTTTGGTGAATATTTTTAGCTCCGCTGTCGACTTTGTCGAGCGGAGCTTATCATATGAGTGATTGTACGTCGT